CATCTTGATTGGCTCTTTCTGTGTGCAGTTGTGATTGTGCCAAAAGATTGACCTTCCCTTTATGTGCACAATGGCCAAAAATAAAGAAATTGTGATGTGGTTATATATTAAATGTGAATCTGTCGTTTTAGTTAATAAATGCCTCATGTTCATCTGTTTTTTTTTTTCCTGTCTTTTTTTTAAAGCTTGTGAACCAGGTTACTACAAGAGCACAGATTCCAGCCAGCCATGTGAAGTGTGTCCAGAGAACACCAAGCGCTCAGGTCGTGGAGCACTGCTGTGCCCCTGCATGGAGGGCTTCTTCCGGGCCCCTACGGACCCTGACTCTGCTCCTTGCTCTTGTAAGTGTGAATGTGTTTTTTTTACTCCTCTACAATATTGTTTGATCTTAAGAAACAATCTTTTTTATTCTCTGCATTTTAATCTAGTTTCTAAACATACCATGTTTTGCTCTTCTAGCTCTGCCTAGCCCACCCCAAAACCTGGTATACATGCCCCTCCTGACTGCGGGGAGTTTGCAACTGAGCTGGCGCCCCCCGGCAGACACTGGCGGCAGAAGCGACATCACATACAGTGTGGCTTGCGAGCGCTGTGAGGGTGGTCTGTGTTCACTGTGTGGTGGGAGGGTGCGATTTGAGCCTGCGCAGACGGCCTTGAAAGACCCCGAGGTCGTGGTTAGCGAGCTGGAGCCTCATGTGAACTACACATTTACAGTCGAGGCCCAAAGTGGCGTGTCCCAGTTCAGTCGAAAGAGAGCCACGGCAAGCATTACAACAGCGCTTCACTTCACAGGTTAGATATTTAAGAATTTAAGTTTAAATTGCACAAATATCAAGCTATTGAGCGACAAGCAATAGTTCTGTCCTCAGTGAAGGTGAAAATGGGGCAAAAATCACATCCATTTGCATTTAATGTTTTGCCACATGAAGCTGAATTTTGAACCAATGAGGTTTCTATGTGGGCGGAGCTACCCAGTGCACATCATTGCCTGTCACAGCTCGATAAGATTAACAGATTAACATGGAGGAGAACTGATCACATGTCATGCCGGTTTAAGACACAGTGTATCAAATGGCATTAAATGTAAATTGAGACATTGATGGTTAGCGAAAATACTGATGAATTGTGCCTCTTTATTTAGATGGCCCAAGGGTGCTATTCCTGAGAGTAGAAGATCGGACCACCAGCACTCTGACTTTATCCTGGGTCGTGGACCACCATGTGCAGAATAACTATTCCCCCCGCTATGAGCTCATGTACCGCAAGAAGGTGACTATGATATCTTATTATGTTACCTTTTTTTTAATAAGAATATCATAGAGACTTGGGTGGTGGGACTGTAGACAAGCACCCAGAACACCCTAGTAACCACTTAGCAATGCGCTAGCAACCCACCTAGAACACCCAAGAAATCACTTATCAGTGTGCTAGCAACCCACCATAGCAGCTACTTGGCAATGCCCTGCCAAATCATCTAGAACAGTGTTTCCCAACCTTTTTTTAGTCGCGGCACCCTTTGGAAATTTTAACAAACTTGTGGCACCCTACAAAATGTATTTTGTCACAATATTTGAATTTCTAACTTCGATATGATAATTTGAAAAGTAGATATTCAGTACAACAGGGAAGAACTGCAGAATATAATGTCATACAGATATTTTTTATATTATTAAAAAATGTTGTCCATCAATAGTGGCAATCAGTAGGCTAATTTCTAATGAAGAGACCAATTTATATGACAGATTTTAATGTAGGCTTTTATACATATGTAAACATTATTTAATTACCATTATAACTAGCTATTCTCACAAATGTTTGCTCACTCAGTGTTTTTTTAAATTTACAGTGGGGTAATGTTGGTGCAGTAGCACGAGATAGCTTGATTTCAAACTTTGAATTGAATAAAAAATGACAAGCAGTCAGTAATAAAATAAGAACAAATAAAGAAATTAATAATGATAGCACAAATAAAAATTACGACAGGCCTTCAAATTAAATAAATTGCTTTTTAGTTTTTCAGCTAGGTGTAACATTAGGGTTAAGATATTTAACTTAAAAAAAAATTTTTTTTTTTTTTGCCAGTTATCCAAATAATGTTTAGTCCTAGAAAGCTATTATTATCAGAACACGCGAGCATAACATAGCGGTTAGCAGTGGCGTGTCCCAGTTCAGTCGAAAGAGAGCCACGGCCAGCATTACAACAGTGCTTTAATTCACAGGTTAGATATTAAGAATTTAATTCTGTCCACAGTGGTAGTGAAAATAATGTATTGCTGAATTTTTAACCAATGAGGTTTCTTTGTGGGCGGAGCTACCCAGTGCACCTCATTGCCTGTCACGGTTCGATAAGATTAACAGATTAACATGAAGGAGAACTGATCACATGTCATGCCTGCTTTAGATGCGGTGTATCAAATGGCATTTACATGTAAATTGAGACATTGATGGTTAGCCAAAATACTGATGAATTGTGTCTCTTTATTTAGATGGCCCGAGGGTGCTGTACTTGAGAGTTGAAGATCGGACCACCAGCAGTCTGACTTTATCCTGGGTTGTGGACCACCATGTGCAGAATAACAACTCCCCCCGCTATGAGCTCATGTACCGCAAGAAGGTGACTAACTTAAGTTATCTTTTTTTAATATGAATATCATAGAGACTTGAGTGATGGGACTGAAGTCAACCACCTAGAACACATTGGCAACCACTTAACAATGCCCTAGTAATACAGAACACCTCAGCAACAGCATAGCAAAGCCTTGACATTGTGAAAACTTACAGTAAATATAGTTGACTTTATGTTGTATGCTTTCGCCTTCTCTCTCCATGGCCTTTCCATGTTTTTGGCCTTTACCATTTTGGAATAAACATTCAATTTCCTCTCCTCATTGTTTCATAGGAGGATCCTGGAGAGTTGGACGTCACCACATACACCGTTCTGGTTCTGGAGAAGAACTCTGTGCAGATTAATGACCTCTTACCAGGAACAAAGTATGTGTTCCGTGTTCACACCCTGACAGCAGAAGGCCATCCCAGCAGCCACAGCGCCGAGCTTGAATTTGAGACGTTGCCTCTCGGTAAGTGCGTGCTAATGCATATGTGGGCGTTTCGTTTTAGTCTTTTAATGCTTTCGTGTATGAAAGTGCGTAACTTTGATGCATTCGTGATAGGCTGTGGGTGGTGCGCCAATGTTTGTCAGTATGAGTGAAGTGAATTTCTTTTTGTTCTGTTTTCAACAGCGGAATCTCAGACGCAGAATAGTTCCATGGTTGTCATGGGAGCCATTGCTGGGGGCGGAGTCATGTTGCTGATTGTGGTGGTGATTTTGCTCCTGCACAAAAGGTTAGATGACCTTTCTCTGGTCTCACTTTTTCCATTCTGTTCTCTTCTTTTTCTCTTTCCCAACCACAGAGCAGGATTTCCCAACTTTGCCTTAGTCACTTCACCCACACTGTTTACATTCCAGCTTTGATGTGCAATCATTCTCATTTAAGATATCATCAAGATAGGAGCTTAAATTAACTCACTAATGTGATGTTGAATGTTCTTTCATCAGGAGGTTGAATTCCCATGTCCGACGGAGGGTAGATGGAGATTACTTTTCATGTCCAGGTAAGAAACGGATTGAAACCCTTTTGCATTCATGTGTTTGGCGTTAAGACGCCATGTCTGATACTATCAGCAATAGCTTCACACGAAAATCCCTATATATTAATCTCCAAAGCTGAAAGTGTCATCTCAGCCATCATACAGTGGGCGTCATGTAAACAAGGTCAAACTCTACCTATTTATTTTACAGAAAAACTCCTGCCTTTGAAGACCTACGTTGATCCCCATACATATGAAGACCCCTGTTCGGCTGTCCACAAATTTGCCAGTGAAATTCACCCTAGTCATATCACCAAGCAGAAAGTCATTGGTGCAGGTCAGTGTTATTTCAGTATTAATTATATACTATCATAGTGTTTATAAATTTGTAAGCATTTTTGTGCTTTTGTCATTTGTATTTTTTTTTTAATATTTCAAGTTTAGTCATTTTAATACTTATTACTTATTAAACTTATTTATTGCCAACTCAACATTTTGAATTTTCAAAGTTTAAGTTAAAGCTTTTCATGTAATATTTAAATTGTATTTTATTTTGCTTTTGTTTTATTTTATTGAACGCTGGTGCAAGTATGTTGAAAATAGTCATTTGACATGTGTTTTTGTGTCTTTGACATATGTCTTTTTAAGTGTAATTTCTGTGTCTTCTAAAAAACTTGGACTTTAAGATATGTTGTTAATTAACAATTGTGATTCCATATTGCTCCATAGGAGAATTTGGTGAGGTCTACCGTGGTTCTCTGAAGATACCGGGGCGCTGTGAGGTCGCCGTAGCGATAAAGACCCTGAAGCCAGGCTACACTGAGAAGCAGAGGCTGGACTTCCTTAGTGAAGCCAGTATTATGGGCCAGTTTTCCCATAAGAACATTATCCGCCTGGAGGGTGTTGTCACCAAATGTAAGAATCATCCTGTCAAATCATAGTTTCCAGTACTTTAGAATACCTTTCCACAAAACAGTACATGTTTTAACAGGATGTTCCCGTCTATTTATTATTTCAGTCAAAGACGCCATGATTATCACAGAGTACATGGAGAATGGAGCTCTGGACCAGTATTTAAGGGTGTGTTTCTGTCAGCAAATGTTAATGTTTAATCTGAATACCTTTGCTAAGATGTAGCACTAATCACTAATCCGTTTCTTTCTTCTCCACAGGACCATGATGGGGACTTTTCCTCATACCAGCTTGTGGGAATGCTCAATGGCATAGCGGCAGGAATGAAGTACCTCTCAGACATGAACTACGTTCATCGGGACCTTGCAGCTCGCAATGTTCTGGTCAACGGCAACTTGGAGTGTAAAGTCTCCGATTTCGGCCTGTCGCGAGTGCTGGAGGACTATCCTGAGGGAACCTACACGACTACTGTAAGTTATATGAATGCATAGCGTCATAATAAAATAATTATAGAAATTTATCAAAGCATTCTTTTCATGATTTTAAAAATGAATATTTCGACATTGTTCTAAAATGATTTTCTGAGTGAATACTGAGTGAACCTTAACTCTTACTCTTTTAGGGAGGAAAGATTCCTATTCGCTGGACGGCACCTGAGGCAATAGCGTACAGGAAGTTCACTTCAGCCAGTGATGTGTGGAGTTTCGGCATAGTCATATGGGAAGTGATGTCATTTGGAGAAAGACCCTACTGGGACATGAGCAACCATGAGGTATGGGAAATATCTTTTATTTTTGCTAATTTCTCATACTTTAGGAGGTTGGCCTAAATTGGATGATTACAAAATGCAATCCCATAAACCCTTAGCAATGCCTTAGCATGTTCTAAAAACCGATGAAATGTTTGAAGCATTCATTTAAAAGTCCTCTGTGAGCATGAGTTTCACCTTTTTCTTTGTGTATTTGATCACAGGTGATGAAATCCATAAACGAAGGCTTCAGGTTGCCGGCACCGATGGGCTGCCCATCTGCGGTCAATCAGCTCATGCTGCAGTGCTGGATGCAGGACCGCGCCAAACGGCCATGCTTTGTTGATATCGTCAACTTGCTCGAGAAGCTGCTTCGCAACCCAGAGTCACTCTCAGCCATTGCTAGTATCGACCCCCGGTGAGAAGCGGTTAACAGACTGCTGATGCTAAATGTATTGTAGATTAATAAATCTACAATACTTTATACTGAGATGTTCAAAAAAATATATCTTTCCCCCCACAGTGTCTCTATTCGTCTACCCAGCACTAGTGGTAGTGATGGCGCCCCCATCAGGTCAGTGAATGAATGGCTGGAATCCATCAAGATGGCCCAATACAGAGAAACCTTTGCTCTTGCTGGAATTAAAACTATGGAACAGGTGTTGCGCTTAAAAATGGAGTAAGTATGCCTGCTTACATGCATAAAGGAATTACAAAATGAACCAATTACAAGAGGTTATAAATTACTTGCATTTCTATGGCATCATCTAAATCCGTTCTCTATTTTCTTTTTCAAAAAGTGACATAGGGAACATTGGAGTACGACTGCCAGGTCATCAGAAGAGAATCGCCTACAGCATTCTGGGCCTGCAAGACCCGACGGCGACCCTGGATCTGTTTGCTGTGTAACAATGCTCTTGAGCGAAGCAGCACTGTTCTGAATCGACAATTGAACTGGCCCAAACTGGACTTTAAAAAGCTGACTGAATAAAGACCAGAATGCCCTCCTCAAATGAAATGGACTCCCTTCGGGAATATAAACACTTTACGGTTTTCATATTTTGTTTCTCATTTGTTAAAGCTTTTTATATAATATTTTTACATGTCAGATGGACCCTTATGCTCTTTGTTTCAACTTAAGCCATATTAAGCACACAGTGGATATATGGTCTGTTTTGACATTTTTAAATATTGTAACTACTGCCTCAGGTCTGATGATTAGGGTGCTATCAAGGGTACAACGATAGTAACCTTAGTAACCTGTGGTGCCCATATATCCACATATTAATCAGAGTTGCCAAATGTGAGGGGTTGAAGTCTGATTTAAGGTTGTACAATTACAAATGTAAAAAGTTTAGTAGGAAATGTTATATGTTGTTAAATTGTTGACCGACATCCTCCTGTTTTGAACGATAGGATGAGTGTTTACATGTCTTATTTCAGCTCTTTTTATTTAATATTTATTTTTGTATTTATTGTCTGTGTTTGTAAAGAAAATGATGTACTGTATAGTATTAAAATATTTTCTAAGTCTCATCCTAAGTCAACTCTTCACCATCGTGCACCTCACACAAAATTCATGCACTAACATGCCCAAAATTACACATGCACAAAAGTAACAACATCACCGTGTTTTAGTTTTAGATTTCCAGTTGACTGTAAGCTCTAAGTCTCTCCACAAATGCAGTTTGGTAAGCCATTCACTGTAGTGGAGACAAAGTGTCTGTAATAGTCTTGACTCACTTCAGTCCTTCAATGATGAATGTTTGTGAAGACTAATGATGACACACAACAAGCATGAGTTAGCTCCTTTTATAAATCAAGAGGCCCAAGCAGTGGTAGAATGAAAATGCTTATGAATGAATGCTGACTGTGGCCTAGGGTGTGTTTAATACAGAAGCAGACAGGAATTAAGCTCTTAATTGTGCATTGTGACAGTTGGTGAACAAGTAAAGCTTGTCTGTTCTGGTCTGGTGTGGGCCAGGCTCATTTCTCTGCACTTAGTCTAACTGTTCTTATAAGGAGGACAGCTGGTGAAAGTTCTAGGAATTGAGTTGCTTACAAGGATGTCATATTTCTAGTTCCCTTAAGAAAAAAAAACACAGTGACAAGATTATCAGCACACTTAGTATGTACTCGAAGTATACCAGGATGGGATAGATAACGTTGCAGTATTTAAAAATAAATACAAACATAAAAGTAATTACGTGTTTCCCCTCATTATTTACATTTAGCGTCACGTATGCTTCTATTCATAAAAAAAAATCTACAACAAGAACACCTTATAGCACAATGTACTTATTACAGACATAAATTATGACTTTGAAAAGATTGACATATTATTTAGCTATAATTACACCCAATATAATAGTCAACAATTGCATTTTTAACATTTTATATAATTGTTGTCGATTAGGAGTAAAAAAAATAATAATACACAATATGTTAGATAATAGACAGACGTACCTAATAGAGTCAGCCTTACCTATTAAATTTGAGCATGCTTAAAAGATGATAGCTAATTTATATATTTCAAAGGCTTACTATACAAAAATATAGTGTGTGTATTTTAAAAATATAGTTATGAGTATTTTTATACGCAAAGATTTATTTTAGTGCCTTCGATCATTCCACTTATGTCCAGAAGAGGGAGCCACTATCAAGTGCCTTTGGTGACGCGAATCACGCGATTGACGTCTAAGGATAAAGATGGCGACTTACTGAAGCGCTCCATGCTTTATTGTTGATAGAACAGTATATTGTTATTTTACCGGAAAATCTCACACCGGAATCGAAAAAAAAATGTCAAGGTTAATAGTCAAGAATCTCCCAAATGGGGTGAGTATTTGTAATTATATTAGAATATGATGTAAGCCCGCGGTCAAAGATGCATGCGTCAACAAAGATTTGACCGACTTTTAAGCACGTTTATTCCATGAAAATAAAAAGTAGAGCTGTGTTTTTGTTTGACGTGGTGTCGTGGAGTTACTGTAGTTTTTGGACATGATAACTTGATACTGCCACGCTTTTGTTGCATTTATTAAAGTATCATCATTCTATTATTTGATAGCATCAGCGTAACATGGTACCACCACTGTACTTTCTTAAGGATAATTAATATAACTAAAAACGAGCTTATTTAATTCTTATAAGGGCTGTCAGGCAATTACTAAAATGCACTGTGATCTTGAACTGTAAGTGAGCTCATTTAAATGAAATATGTGATTTGAAATGTTGAAAGTCATTGTATTTATTCTGTTTCCTCAGATGAAGGAAGACCGTTTCCGTAAAATGTTTGCGGATTTTGGGACGCTTACAGATTGTACGCTGAAATTCACCAAAGATGGCAAATTTCGCAAATTTGGATTCGTAGGCTTCAAGACAGAAGAGGATGCAGAGAAAGCAATGAAACATTTCAACAAGAGCTTTGTGGATACATCTAGAGTTACTGTAAGTGATAGGATATATATATATATATACACACACACAGTGGTGTGAAAGTTTTTGCCCCCTTCCTGTTTTTTTAATTGTTTGCATATTTGTCACACTTAAAAGATTCAGATCATCAAACAAATTTTAATAACCTGAGTAAATGCAAACTGCAGTTTTGAAATTATGATTTCATTTATTAAGGGAAAAAAGCTGTCCAAACCTGCCTGGCACTATGTGAAAAAGTAATTGCCCCCTAAATCTAATAACTGGTTGTGCCACGCTTTGCAGCAACAACTGCAATCAAGTGTTTGCGATAAATGGCAATGAGTCTTTCACATCGCTGTGGAGGAATTTTGGCCCACTCTTCTTTGCAGAATTGTTTTAATTCAGCCACATTGGAGGGTTTTCGAGCATGAATGGACTGTTTAAGCATCTCAATCGGATTTAAGTCCGGACTTTGATTTGGCCACTCCAAAACCTTCATTTTGTTTTTCTTGAGCCATTCAGAGGTGGACTTGCTGGTGTGTTCTGAATCATTGTCCTGCTACATAACCCAAGTGCGCTTGAGCTTGAGGTCACAAACTGATGGCCGGACATTCTCCTTCAGGATTTTCTGATAGAGAGCAGAACTCATGGTTCCATCAGTTATGGCAAGTCATCCAGGTCCTGAAGCTACAAAGCAGCCCCAGCTCATCACACTACCACCACCATGTTTGACTGTTGGTATGATGTTCTTTTTATGAAATGCTGTGTTGGTTTTACGCCAGATGTAACGGGACACACACCTTCCAAAAAGTTCAACTTTTGTCTCATCAGTCCACAGAATATTTGC